AAACAATAGTTGTTTAATATTTACAACCGAGATTTGGCTCGATTCCAATACTCGCCATTGCACCAATTTTTCGATCTGCGAAACCCACGTTTATGAGAAATCAGTGCGAGTCAAAGAATTTAGGTTGTTGCGTTTTATCGTCAGATAAACATTGCTTTATGGCTCTTTTGTAAATAGAAAAACTCACAAAACTATTGTTTTTTCCGCTTTTAAAGATATGAAAAAGAATACGATGATAAACTATCAAATTTTCTTATTAAAAGGAATGCGATTAAAATCAATATGGGGATCAATATGGGATAAATAAATTTTATCATTGGTACTTCTTACGATTTTTCTTATAAATTATAATGATCTCGATTCAGCTGCTATCTTTCGCTTCTTGAATATCCGCGGGATTATCGTTCGCAGTGGTGATTCGGTGCATGGTTAAGCAGCGATGATAAACGAATTGTTGGCTAGGAGGATGTTGGTTAGAGGGTAAGAGAAAGAGACCGGTTGAACGATCGAGAAGAAAATGAAACGGGTGACGAGTGGCGCGGAATAGAAGGAAATACTAAAAGAAGGGATAGAGAGAAGTTTTAGAAGGAGATGGATAGATTAATGATAGAGGGGGAAGAAAAGAGAGAGAGAGAGAGGAAGGGATTGACAAGTGAAAAGGGACGGAGAAATAAGGGGAAGAGGAGTCGTTCAATTAGAGAACCCGAGCTGGCACGATCGAATGCGAGAATTCAATTTCTTCGGTCTTTCAATCATTTCGAGTGCGCCAGGTCTCTCTCAAGTTTTCTCTTCTCTTCCTCCCGCTCATTCGCTTTTATCTCGTTCCATATTCTCCCCTCGATTCTGGCCTATGACTCGCTTCGTTATCTTCTCGCGTTTGCTTTTTCTTCCGCTCAGTCCACGCTCGAGCCACGAACCAGCTTAACACGTGGAAAAACAAATTTTAAAAATCATCCCCTCCTTTCTCTCCCCCTCCTCTCTCGTATGAATTTCAAATTTTTTATATATTAGCGATTTATTTGCAAATTTTTCACATCTCTCATGCATCACGATTAAAAATAGAAGTTGTTTCAAAAGGTTTTCGTTTCGAATCATTTTTTTTTCTTTTTTTTTTTTTTTTTTTTTTTTAAAA